AACAGACCAATAGAAGAGGCTTTAATGCTTAGTGTTACGTTGTTGCATGATATGCAATTTTGTTTTATTATGCCTCTGAAGTTACGAAAATAACTTTAAAACTATCCAAATTTGGAGCAAAATAACAAACTTCCCATGAAGATACAGGTTAGAATACGTCTTAAGCATGTTTAGCATGCTTGTCGTAAAAGGCGACTATGCTCGTCGTCAGAGGCAACCAACGGGATCGGGTGGTCAGACTTTCTGTTTTTGTTGATTCAGTCATGTCATCGTACTCTCTGGATTATTTACTGACTGCCATCATATAGCTGGAATATTGCCGAGTGTGGCATTAACCAAATAGCCAAATTATTAAATTATGAAGTTTTGACTGGTCCTAATGAACATTGGTTAGCTCCTTTATGGGTTTCTGGTGAAAGATTTTAGATGCGACTTACAGTGTTAAGTTAGTATATGTTAAATTTTGTATCTTCTAGGGCCACACTGGCAAATTATTGCAATATATATCTTTGCTGGTATCTGTATTGTGATTTGTATTGCAATAGTTTGGAAGCTAAGGTGTCGACACTGATTGACACTGATTGTACATGCAGATCCTATTTTCTACATACTAAAGTAAATAATGCTGTGCATGGTCAGAATACACAAACCAAATAGTCAGACACACATTAGCCATGTTAGCCACAGTCAGTGTGAAAAATAGAAACAGCAAAAGCGATGATGAGCTAAAAATAATTCTTCACTTTGACCTGAATAATTATGTTGACAATTCGAGCTCTGAGCTGTTATGTTTGCTTTTAACCTCCCTCTGTCTTAGCTGCACTTTTCCAAGCTGAGTAACGGTGCTTATAAGGATTACTAGACAGATTGGTCTCGAAGGTGATCGTTGGGTGCTTATTTTAAGTCAAATAGGGTGGTTGGGTAGCCGCGTGGTTAAAGTATTCGCTTGTCAGGGCGAAGACTGTGTTCGATTTCCCCACATGGGTACAAAATGTAAAGCCCCACAATGATATTCTAGGATATTGCTAAAAGCGACAAAAAATCAAACTCAATATTATTGCGGCTGTAAATAATCCACCATGATGAAGAAATGATGCATGTTTTTGACATTTACCAATTGGGTGAAACCTACAAGTACGGTCATGATGCTGACAAACCCAGAACATCCGCACTTAAATTCTATTTTCTCCTAATACAACAAACGCTACATCTCGCGGCCTCCTGTGTGTTTCAGCCAACCTCCAAGTTGGCAACGTGCTGCCAGTAGGGTCCATGCCCGAGGGTACCATCATCTGCAGTCTAGAGGAGAAGACCGGCGACCGCGGCAAGCTTGCACGCGCCTCTGGAAACTACGCCACAGTCATCTCACACAACCCAGACACACGTAGGACACGCGTGAAGCTGCCCTCCGGTTCCAAGAAAGCCATTCCCTCAACAAACAGGGCTATGGTTGGTGAGTAGTGAGGAAGTTTTTTGGTCTATTTAAAACATGACTTACAAGATGATCCATGCTTATCCGTAATTTCAGTCCTACACACTCGCCCAAAAATGTTTAGTGCTATGACCATCGTAAGTCTGCTTTGAAGTATATGAAGTATATGAGTTACTGTCATAGTTGTGCAGTTTCAGATTTTTATCCCCCGCCGCGCGAAAGCGCGAAGCGGGGGATATAGTATTCACGACCGTCCGTACGTACGTCCGTACGTCCGTCCGTACATCCCACCTGTTTGTTGCCGCGATATCTCAAGAACTAAACACTGGATTGTCTTCATATTTGGAACTATGGTGTATATACAGACTCCGCAGACACCAGTCGGTTTTGGTGACCTTGATCCCATTTTCAAGGTCACAGCAGACAAATCTGCTTTTAGAGTTGGAAAACGGTGTTGCCGCGATATCTCAAGAACTAAACACTGGATTGTCTTCATATTTGGAACTATGGTGTATATACAGACTCCGCAGACACCAGTCGGTTTTGGTGACCTTGATCCCATTTTAAAGGTCACAGCAGGCAAATCTGCTTTTGGAGTTAGAAAACGGTGTTGCCGCGATATCTCAAGAACTAAACACTGGATTGTCTTCATATTTGGAACTATGGTGTATATACAGACACCGCAGACACCAGTCGGTTTTGGTGACCTTGACCCCATTGTCAAGGTCACAGCAGGCAAATCTGCTTTTGGAGTTAGAAAACGGTGTTGCCGCGATATCTCAAGAACTAATCGCTGGATTGTCTTCATATTTGGAACTATAGTGTATATACAGACACCGCATACACCTGTCAGATTTGGTGACCTTGACCCCATTTTCAAGGTCACAGCAGGCAAATCTGTTTTTGGAGTTGGAAAACGGTGTTGCCACAATATCTCAAGAACTAATCGCTGGATTGTCTTCATATTTGGTACTATGGTGTACAGGCGGGGGATATTTCGTCACTCTGTGACAAATACTTGTTTTCAAAAAGTTATGTGTATCAGCAGTGTTGAGGTATTCGTGGAAAAAAAACGACATTTGAGAAACCTTAGTTGGTAAAATAGGTTAATTTGCAAACCTGAATTGCAGACATGTGTCAATCTAAATACTTTATCAACATTGACTAAAAATCTGCAAAATTAATGTCTGCAGACAACTAAAGCGGATTTTTTGTTTGGTGATCTTGTGTAACAAGTCAGAAGTTGTGCATTGATTGATCACACCCCTGTTAATGCACTAAACTGACTTGCAGGTATCGTTGCTGGCGGCGGTCGTATTGACAAACCAATGTTGAAGGCAGGACGTGCCTATCACAAATACAAGGCCAAGAGAAACTGCTGGCCTAAAGTCAGAGGTGTTGCCATGAACGTGAGTATAGGATCTACAGATGCTGATGAAAAACCATTTGTGTTCAGTATCTCAACCAAATGTAGTATAATCAATCATTTACCCAGGCTTGTGGTTAAGGATTGTCTGCCGAACTGGGCTTCATTCCCAGATGGTTGTAAATTCTGACACCAAAAGTAAAATTCACTATTGATTAGAGCTTGGACAATACATCTGTGCATATCACGATACCTTGCTCACTTTCCTATATGTATAACGATACTTGCACATGCTCTGTGGTGCGTCAGCCATCTTATTTTCACTTGTAATTGGTGTTTGGTGTAACATTTATTAAAGAATACATTTAAGGTAAGAATCGATACTTTTTACTTAGTGTGTGATTGTGATTGATACTTGTATCGAGAAGTAAAAAAATCGTGATCCTCACTGGTCGGTGTGTGTGTTTCAGCCCGTTGAGCATCCCCACGGTGGTGGTAACCATCAACATATTGGAAAGGCCTCTACCGTCAGGAGGGACACCTCAGCTGGTAGAAAGGTAGGCTGCAAGTCTTACATTTTATTTGTTGAGTTTTTGCTACTTTTCTTTCTCTTAAAAATACACCAAAATAATGATTCACATGATATATGTCAAGGTGTTCTTGAATACAGAATATCTATTATGTTATTGAAAATTTTGAAATATTGATTCAAAACATTGCAATATCTATTAAAGTTTAAACGGTATATTTGTGAAAACTGAATGATTTTTTTAATTTAAAGGGAAACACTTTCTGTGACTTTTCAGGCAACGTGTTGTAAAGCTTAGAAAATGATTTAAGAAATAGTTTTCATTTACAGTTGATCTTGAACATAATAATTTGTATGTTTTATCTTCGTCATCTAGGTTGGTCTTATCGCTGCCAGGCGTACCGGTCGTCTGCGTGGTACCAAGCAGCTCACAGGAAAGTCGGACAAAGAGTAAATACAGTTGTACAGACAAGAATAAAACATGTCCGGGGAATAATCTGTTTTTGTTGTTACATAATGGTATCTTGTGCTTGTTTGAAGAAGGCTCTCTTTGAGCTCAGTGCTCTGTCTGTGGATTGAGGCGGGGTCACGAGCGGCCCAGTCGTCTAAGGCACCGCGATTCGCTGTGCAGGCTTGCATTCCTTTGGCATGCCAGAAACCTATGATTGAGGGTTGGAATCCCGGCTGCCCCGATTGTTTCTTGGTTTGTCAGCATGATACCCGTGCTCGTGGGTTTCACCGAAGTGGTAAACGTCTGAGACCTGCATCACTTCGGGCTTTCCTCCCACATTAAGCTGACACGCTGCGATATAACTGGAATACTGTTAAAAGCAGCGTTAAGCCCAACTAACTCCTGTGGATTGAGGCAGGTGATATGGGGTTTATTGCACTTACATAGCGACAGTGTGCTCACGCCTGTACTAGTCTGGACTTTTGACAGTTTAGTAGTGCTGCAGTTTAACCCCACTAGACACGTTAGCTGTGAAAGGCAGGGTAACATTTTGGTATTGCGTGGCCAGGGAACGAACCCCAGACTGAGGCGAGTGAATATTAATGCCTCATCAGCAGGTGTTAGTTGGGAAGTATTGTTTGAGAGTAAATGTTTGTAAACTACCATTCACATTCATCTACCACTTGTAGATTCTGGGGTAGAATAGGTCTTCAGCAACCCATACTTGCCATAAAAGGCGACTAATGGGATATTGCATGTCATCGATCCCAATTGCGTGGATCGATGCTCGTGATGTCAATCATTGGATTGTCTGGTCCAGACTTGATTATTTTACAGACCGCCGTCATATAGCTGGATTATTGCTGAGTGCGGCGTTAAACAACAAACAAACAAACATCTACCACTTGTAAAAACGTCAGATCAACAATGAAGACATCCTTTTCCAAACAGCACAATCTTCGTCCTGGGGAAACATTGTGTAGACTTCTGTTCAAAACAAGTTAATGTGGTAGCTTTTGAATTGTTTGAATGCCATTAACCATTCAGGCTTGCTGACTTGGTCGATGCATGTCATCAGATCACAATTGTGTAGGTCAATCAATGGATTGTCTGGTCCAGACTCGAATATTCACAGACCTGTCATATTGCCGAGAGCAGTGTTAAACAAACCTGAGGAAACATTATGCAGACGTGGAGACTTGTCAAGTTACAAGTTACACTGTTCACTGATTAGACATTTATTCATGTATGTACAAGATGAGGAATCATGAGGTGCCATACCTCCAACAAAATACAGACTTCACCATTATGTTCAGTCCCACGAATCGAATGCCCAGAACTTGATGCCCTCCCACCAAGATGACAAACATGGACCAGTTGAGGAGTTACAGCGGTTGTCCCTTCCACTTGCAATAGTCACGAAATATTGCAATGATCAATTATCGAAGATTGCTGTGAGCTAATATGAAATAAAAACAAGCCTTCCAGGTGAAATGGAACATTGCTTCCAGTACTGACAAAAGTTTCATAGTACGCTTTTCTAGAAATATCCATTTTGCTAGTGATAAACGTTAGTTTTGATCCACGTAACAATCCATGTAAGAATCTGCAGGCAGTTACAGTGCATTTTAAACTGTTTTGACAAAATTTGTTCTAACAGTACCGGTAATATTCCTTATTGCCAGAATGACTTGTTTTTCATGTTATTAAGTATTAGCACGCCTTATTAAGTATATACAATCTTCTTTAATTAATAATCGCTCTTTTTTGTGGCAAGGAATACAGACTAAATTACATTAAGTTTGTGAAGACATGACGTCTATTTCAGATAACATATATATCTCATAAATATTAAATATAAAACTGAACACATTGGCTGCAGATGAAAGTGAGAATGGTTTTAGGCCGCTTTTACCAATATTCCAGCAATATCAATAACACCAGAAATGGGCTTCACACATTGTACCCATGTCGGGAATTGAACCCGAGTGAACGCTTTAACCACTAGGCTTCCCCACCGCCCTGAAAGTCATGATAAAATTGACAGATACTTCATAATCAGATTCTAGCGTTTGTGTGAAATCATGATTTCCTAGAAAAGAGTCGAAAAAAGGACAAGCACTTGTGTCGCAAAAACCAATAACATTTGTGGTGGGTCATCTTGTACATTAACTCTCACATGTAAACTTCTAAAGTTACATCAGGTTCTTTCTATGTCCAAGTTTCTGTCTGTAATCTAGAAACACCTCGCTCCCGTCATCCGATGCAAGCTCCATTCTTGTCCCACGTCCTTGAAGTTTAGACGTCCGTCAGTTTGTCAACTTGACAACACAACAAGGTTTGCGTAGTCTGGAAACTTGGAAGCCAACCTGAGTTCACAGACAATGTCCATCTGTGTTAAAAGTTCTCCCTCACAAAGGAAGACTGTCGGCATCACAATAGAAATCTCAGTCGCTTACCACACTTCACACAAGTTCATAATCCTGATAACAACAAGCTGGCGTTGCCAGGATGCTGCTAGTCTTGCACTGACTTGGTGATGAAGTCACCCGTCAGTCACTAGCATCCATCTCCACCTCATCTATTGCTAAGCTGGTGTCGGCTAGACTGTCGTTAGGGGGTGTGGCAGTTGGCGACGTGTCCTCAGCCACAGACATTGCTATGGGTGTTGCCACCAATTTGAATTTGGGGTTGTCGAACTTTGGCACCTCTTCTTCACCACCTCAAATAGAACATCAATTTTAGGTTAATTGTCCCGAACAGAACGAGTGAACGAAGGCTTAAGTAGAGATGACAAATCCAATTAAGAATAATTGGGTTAAAAAAGTAGATATTTAAATAAATGAAATACATGAATTGTTTGATAGGCATTACTTAGAGCTGACGGACGACAAAGTAGACACAATGTATGGAGAAAAACACCTTTAATACCGTAAAGGCTTGACAACAGTATAAGGATCTATACACGTCGCCTTTACAGTATTAAAGTAGTTGTTATCCATAAATTGTGTCTACAATAAAATACATGTAGCACCATTATCTTGTTTGACTATGGTTTTGACTAAATTGGATGATTTTTTGCACTGCATTGCAAAACTCCTATTTGTTTACTCGCTGAAACTGTGACATTTACTATTAATCTCCTTACACTACAAAGTAAAATGTCCGACAGAATGATACTCATATCATCTTTTTCAACCTATACGCTTTCTACTGTCACCATAACACCCTGCCTCGGCTGCTGTGACTGCCGTGAAATCAATAACTAGTCACCATTATCCACGATGTCTTTTTGTAATAAATCTCACAATTTAATAAAACAAATACCGTATTCGATGTAATAAGCGCCCCTGCTCTAATAAGCGCCCACGGTGATATTTGCTAATATATTGGCTAGTGAACAATCCCAATTAGCACCCCTTCCGATTGATCAATGTACACAAGTCTTATTGATTCGTGTATAATACACACTCGTGTGTTATATGCACCCTTAATTATTGGCAATTAAATTCTGGAAAAATATATCTGTCCTATATAAACATTTCAGGCTGTCAGCATAAACCTCGAAATTTATCCTTTAACTATAATTTTCTAATAAGAGCCACCTATTTCTAATTTTGAGAGCGCCCTGGGCGCTTATTACATTGAATACAGTAGTGAACGTAGTGTATCAGCTAGTCAAGGCCACGTGGTTACCTTCACATGGTGACATATCCATCATCAGGGCCTCGATCACATGACCCAGCATGGTGGTGGAGAAGGCGTCGTCTCTGCGGATCCCGAGGGCGCGGTGGAAGTAGTCGACAGCCTTCATGTTGTCTCCCATGAGGGAGTACACGTAGCCGATGGCGGAGTACGTTGAGGGGTTCTGCGGACAGATCATCTCCGCCTGCTTGTGGTACTCTAGGGCGTCCTCATACTTCCTGGGGACAGACAAACAAACAACATTTAGGAGGTGGCCCACTGTTCAGCATTGTTCTGATCTTTCAGAGGCATAATATTATTTTATGCTTTTCTTGCACAATCAGTTTCTCAATTAGAAAAATCTAACTAGGCAATATTTATCATGGTGACACTCTTGATGGACAACTGCTTCCCCTGAATCTGGGTTGAAAGAGAAGAGTGACCTACTTCCTCTTGCGGCAGACATGGCCGAGGTTGTTGAGGAGCGGCTCCCACTTCTCCGCCATGGTCTGTTTGCTGATAGCCTGCACTTTCTTCAGCGCCTCCATGAAGTACTGCTCCGCCTCCACCAGACTGCAGGGGAGACAACAACATGTCAGGGGAGATAACCACATGTCAGGGGTGATAACCACATGTCAGGGGTGATTACCACATGTCAGGGGAGATAACCACATGTCAGGGGAGATAACCACATGTCAGGGGAGACAACCACATGTCAGGGGTGATAACCACATGTCAGGGGAGATAACCACATGTCAGGGGTGATAACCACATGTCAGGGGAGACAACCACATGTCAGGGGAGATAACCACATGTCAGGGGAGATAACCACATGTCAGGGGTGATAACCACATGTCAGGGGTGATTACCACATGTCAGGGGAGATAACCACATGTCAGGGGAGATGACATGTCAGTGGAGATAACCACATGTCAGGGGAGATAACCACATGTCAGGGGTGATAACCACGTGTCAGGGGAGATAACCACATGTCAGGGGGAGATAACCAAACGACAGGCGAGATAACCACATGCCAGGAGAGATTAAAAAACGGCAGGGGAGATAACCACATGTCAGGAGAAATATCCATCTTTCAGGGGAGATAACCACATGCCAGGGGGGATAACCTTGTCAGGAGAGATAACTAAACGGCAGGGGAGATAACTCTGGAAAGGGGGATTACTTTATGTCAGGATAGTTAACTGCAAGTTAGTTGACATCAAGAAATTGAAGCAATATAAAACAAGAGTCAAATCCCCCCGGCCCCAACAATATGGAAAGAACAAATCATCTGACAATGCCATCTAATATCTCTGTCCGTATACAAGAGTAGTTATTGAGCTATCAAAACAATACCATGGAAGTGGGATTTGGAACTTTGAATTTCTATGTCAGGTACACACCACAATGAACCGAGTCAAAATCAAACATTGTTGCCATGGAAACAGAAAAATTATAAATTTTAAAAATCCCTAAATAGCAAAAGGCACCAGTTGACAACCTGGTCTTGGTGTGTACACAGTTTCAAGAAAGAGTATGGTCCAGACAGACACACCACTCTGAACAGGAAAACATACATTGTATTAAAATTCCCAAGTAGCAAAAGGCACCACTTCAGCCCTTGATTAATACATGTACCAAGTTTGGATGAAATATGTTGAATAGATTTTTACTTCTGCTCCGGAAACAACACCAACCTCTGTTTTAGCTAAGTCTAACTTGTTTACATGGAAATAGGGAAAAATCAAATTTTGAAAAAATTCTAAATAGCAAAAGACACCACTTCAGCCCTTGGTTAGTCACGTACCAGGTTTGGATGAAAAGTCTTTCACAGTTTTAAAGTTGTGCTCCGGAAACAACACCTTCCCCCCTTTAGAGACTCAGTCTAAATTGTTTCATGGAAATTGAGAAAAATAAAAAAGCCAAAAGCCGCAAATAGCAAAAGGCACCACTTCAGGATCTGTTTGATATATCTGCCAAGTAATGTTGAAAGATATTGAATGATTTTTGAGTTGTGCTCTTGAAACGAAATACATCCCCTTATACATACACAGTACAAATTGTTTCCATGGAAATCAATAAAAATAAAAATGCCCCAAATCAGTAAATAGCAAAAGGCACTACTTCAGGATCTGTTTGATAATTCTGACATACTTTGTTGAAGAATATTGAATGGTTTTCGAGATATATGCTTCAGAAATGAAATGATTACAGACAGATGGACAGACGGACGGACAGACAGATGAGGCGTTGACTTTATCCCCCCGCATTATATGACGTTCCAATTTTGGGACAGAATAATGCATTTTTGCTGATGTGACCGCAAGGGCAGTTCACAATCCGAGATGAATCCATGGACTTAATAAGCATGAAGTATTAGCGCCCTCTGTATAAGCCTGCGGAAGCCTGACGACCGGACTCACTCGTTGTTCTGGTAGGCTATGACGCCCATCTCATGGAGGACAAACGGATCCTCGGGGGCGATACTGAGAGCCTGGCTGAAGAACTTCTCGGCCAGCTTGGAGTTGTTGGTGAGGCCGTACTCCAGGCCAATATACAACACAGGCAGGTGGCACCTAGAAGGCAATAGAGAAATCAAAATATGGAAATCAACATCCATGGGATGTGTTTAATACTTAACTGAATTTTTTTTAATTGAGATAAGCATATTTATTTTTGAAGGGCACATTCAGGGATAGACAATGCCACTAGTCTGTTAGTCCGGGACTAGTAACAATCTTGACAAACCTGTTTTATTCCACAAACTAGTTATTTTAAATAAACACTAGTCTGACATGAACTGTGGACCAGCTTGATATGACCGATGGTGTCTACCCCTAACATTACATCATGACACAGTGAAATTCAACTCTATTCCTTTAAGAAACTGAGCAAAAGGTTTTAATTTTTCAGTATTTTGTTGAATAAAATTTCTTTTTGCATGTTTGAATTTGCTACTAAAGAACCAAAATTCTACCTACATAAAAACTAAGTACACTATGGCTACTTGACAAGGTGACAAGGTATTGCTAGGTGACATAGCTGATTTTAAATCACTGTTTACCAGTGTGACGATCGTAACTCCCATACTTAACATAGAATAGACTTAGGACAGGTGCAGCGCTGAGACGGTTGTGACCCTATACTTTAACATAGACTTACGACAGATGTAACACTAAGACAATTGTGACTCCATACTTTTACATAGACTTGTGATAGATGAAGCGATAAGACAATCATAACTTCATAACTTTAACATAGACTTATGACAGCTGTAGCGCTAAGACAATTATAACTTCATAACTTTGACATAGACTTACGACAGATGTAACACTAAGACAATTGTGACCCCATACTTTTACATAGACTTGTGACAGCTGTAGCGCTAAGACAATCATAACCCCCATACTTTTACACAGACTTAGGACAGACGTAGCACTGCGATTACTTTGTAGAAGTGTCCTAAGAACTGTAAAGGGAGACAACTCCACTCACCCCTTCATGATCTGGGAGGCTGTGAAGTAGGCTGCCATGGCTTGATCATGTTCGTTGTCTGCTGCAAAAGAATGTCCGAACGCCAGCCAGGCAGGTCCATACGCTCGATCTAGTGTTGTAGCTTTACTGAAACCAGAGGATCAACATTTGTCTGTATACAGGACATATACGTGATGTAATATTTTCATTTGGATTTTGCTTTATATTTTCTGGACATATATTTATAAATAAGATAACTATATTTGTTGGAATAAATGTTAGTGAAGCTACGTACCTGAGATATCGTCTGGCAGGCTCACTTTTACCTATAAGCAGGTAGTAGCAGCCTACAGCGAACCAGGCAACCTGGAGAACACAGAGATGGGAGAGGAGGGGTATAATGCTGCACACCGTGTCAGTAATATCGTGGCATGTCACAGCCTGAGTGAGTGAGTGAGTGAGTGAGTGAGTGAGTGAGTGAGTGAGTGAGGTTTTACGCTGCTTTTAGCAATATTCCAGCAATATCACGGTGGGGGGACACCAGAAATGGGCTTCACACATTGTACCCATGTCGGGAATCGAACCTGGGTCTTCGGCGTGACGAGCGAACGTTTTAACCACTTGGCTACCCGACCGCCCCTGTCACAGCCTGAAGTGAGGCAGGTCCCACTGGGGGATCTATGTCCACCGGTGCAGACAAACCCTCAATCATGACAAACTCAAATCTTGGATGCACACCAAGTGACATGGTTAAGGATGTGTTTTGTTTTTTTTTTTTTTTTTTGTTTAACGCCACACTCAGCAATATTCCAGCTATATGACGGCGGTCTGTAAATAATCAAATTTGAACCAGACAATCCAGTGATTAACATCATGAGCATTGATCCATGTAATTGCGATACGATGACTACCTTAGACTCCTGGGCGACCCATCCCCCTAATGTCGGAGAGGGAGGTGCGTGAGTGTTTGTTTTCTAAATTGAATAAAATCTTATTGCTTGGTTTCCAAGCTGCTGATCGACACTTTTTACAAATATTAAAAAAATTTAACATGATTACATTATGTTTGAAATAAATGTTAATAATCATAATAATAAAGCTAACAGAGCAGTTACCTAAATCTGTAGATAACCTTGATTCGTGGATTGCAGTAATTATTTTGATATCTCGTCACACACATGACGTCACACACATGACGTCACACAGCGGTACTCTTGGTGTACACACTCCCACACCCTGCTGACAATGATGTTCCGAATCACTGCATTACATTGATTGAATGATTGAGTATGGTTTTACGCCGCTTTTAGCTATATTCCAGCAATATCACGGCTGGGGACACCAGAAATGGGCTTCACACATTGGACCCATGTTGGGAATCGAACCAGAGTCTTCGGCGTGACGAGCGAACGCTTTAACCACTGGGCTACCCGACCGCCCCCACTGCATTACACGTACCAACAGTAAAATCAAATATTAAAACATTGAGACAAATAGCACTAGATCAACCATTCCAAATCTTATGTTCACAAAAAGTCAAATAAAAAGGATACTGTAAGCACCAACTTTCTCGAATCTCATCTGCTTGTGTAGTTATAACACACTGACTGTACCAGGCTGTCGTACATAGTGATATATTAATACTACGTAATCCACGAATCAAGGTGACGTCACATTTTGTGTACCGGTACACATGAATGGATGATCAATGCAAATGGCTTCGGTAAACAAACTTTCCACTCCTGAGTGGAATGTTCGGCCTTTTCCTTTAGCTGAATAGATTCATTAATGATTAGTGAGTATACAAAACAAAATCGTACACTTAAACCACAAAATTCGGTGCACTTTCCTTATATCCACAAATCAAGGCTACACTAAGGTATCAAGTATAACAACAGCTTCTTTTATTCTTAAGGTGGAAGACGGGATTGTCTTGATGGTCTATTTTATTCTCAACATTCCAATTAAGAACAAGAGTTTGCTATATCCCCCGCCCCTGTTGCAGAATTTATGACATAATTAAATCTAAACAAACCCTAACCTTTTTTAACCGAAGTGGAACTTGTCATGGAAATTGTAAAAAAAAGGAGAGTTTGGAACCTAAGTCCATCTTGTTGCCATGGAATCGGAAAAAATAAGACACCACATCTAAATAGGAAAAGGCACCAATTCAGCATGTACTTGACAGACCTGCAAAGTTTGATGAAAAAATATTGAACGGTTTCTGAGTTATGCTTCGGACACGAAACGTGACGGACGTGATGGAGCCCGTTTCTATATAAATATTAAATAAATAAATATAAATATTTTGTATAAATGGTGACACACTTACTGGCTTTGTCGGATAGAATTCCACTAGTTTATGTGCTATATAAAACAATGCTGAAACAAAAAGAGAGAAAACATCACTGCAACTGGCCTCTGATTGGTCAGTAAAGATGATTATTTGTCTGTTGTTAAACGCCACACTCTGCTTAATGATGGCGGTCTGTAAATAATCGAGTCTGGACAGACAATCCAGTGATTTCTTTTGAAGAGTGAGTGAGCATGGTTTTACACTACGTTAAGCAATACTTCAAGGCTTCACACATTATACCCTTTGGGGAACAGAACCAAGGTCTTCAGCATGATGAGTGAACGTTCTAAACACTAGGCTACCATTCCATTTCTTTGGGGTTAACTAGAACAGTTTGCAATGTGAAACGACTTGTTTACCCAGAGTAATGGGTCCATTGTCCTATACACACGTGTTACCATGGTTACATTTAGCGCACACATCAGTATAAACTTCAAGTTAGTGCTTTTAAAGAGTAGACGTAACTTTGTCCTAAATTTAAAAAACGGAACCCAGAAACTTTTCAGGAGATTTGGTTGGTTTGTTGTTTAACGCCGCACTCAGCAAATATTCCAGCTATATGACGGCGGTCTGTAAATAATCGAGTTTGGACCAGCCAATCCAGTGATTAATATAATGAGCATCGATCCACGCAATTGGGATAGATGACATGCATCAACCAAGTCAGCGAGCCTGACCACCCGATCCCGTTAGTTGCCTTTTACGACAAGCATAGTCACCTTTTACGGCAAGCATGGGTTGCTGAAGACATATTCTACCCCGGAATCTTCACGGGTACTTTTCAGGAGAACTTACCATTGGCTTTTTTCAGTTCCACCAACACGGCTATATGTAGGGGGAGACATTTGCTGTTGTAGGGGTCTTTACACAAAACTCTGGAAGACAAACAGGATATGGTCAACATCAGCGCCGTGGTCAAACAGGTTTGTTGTTCATTCATTAGCAGCAGTATTAATGTGGAAGTTGAATTTTTTCTAAAGAATTTTTACACTGAAATTTAGGCCAACAATTTTGTAATCAAACTAACAAGTGTCATCAGGTGATGGTGCAGTTTGGAAATAGAGTTTGGCAACTAATACCCCAGATTGTTGTCTCCTGTGTGACAACTAAATGAACAGCTGATGCCCCCTAAACAATCTATAATTGTCCTCGCGAATAATTCCCCATCAATTCGACAATGAACAGAAATACAGAAATATTAGTGTCATTTCTCCTAAAGTAGAAGAAATATGCGTCAAATGTAAATTTTGGTTTAAACTTATTAAATGCTAATATTTTTAAATACATGTATTCGCAGTGGAATAATTAATGTTAGAAAATAGGATATCCGAGGATATGTCTTTATAATCTAGTAACATTATTTGCAACATTATTCGAGTCACAAGTACCAAAAATCAAATAGTTTCCACAATGTGTTAAGATGAAATATCTCTGAAAATTAGTAAAATCTCATCACACGCCAAACAATCTCATTAAAATCTCATTGCTTTTGCACCAGGGGAGATGTTCTCTCATAGGTAAAAATTTCCAGGATAATCCTAGAGTTTGGCTACTTTGAGGCATTGCCATTGGATACCTTCAGTTCAGTGAAGAAAAAAAAAATGCTATTAGTATTTTTCAAAATCCTAAATCATCAAAAGGCACAGTTCACTGCTAGACTGATCTGTATAGCAAGTTTCATTCTGAAATATTCAACAGTTTGGAAGTTTTGAAACAAGCACTTTTCATTTTCAGTTTAAGTCCAACTTATCGTCATAGACAAATTCTAAAATACAAATCATCAAAAGGCACCAGTTTCCTACTAGATTGATTTATATATACATAGAAAGTTTCAACATGAAATATTCAACAGTTTTGGAGTTCTGCTCCGGAAAACGGAAAACAGGCAGCTGACGGACGGACGTGGTGATCGCTATATACCCCCGTTTTTCAAACCAGGAGGGTAAGAGTGAGTTAGTGAGTGAGTTGGGTTTTATGCCGCTTTTAACAGTATTACAGTAATATCGCGGCTTGTCAGCTTAATGTGGGAGGAAAGCCCGACGTGATGCAGGTCTCTGACGTTTACCACTTCGGTGAAACCCATGAGCACGGGTATGGTGCTGACAAACCTAGAAACATAATTGGGGCGAACCGGGATTCGAACCCACAATCATAGGTTTCTGGCGTGTCCAAGGGATGCAATTCTGCAGAGGGAATCGTGGCGCCTTAGACGACTGGGCCACCCGTGCCCCCAGGAGGGTAAGAAAAACTGAAAGGCTTTACTGTCTACTTACACTGAAGTTATTGAGAAACATTCTCTGAAATCACAGTTGTAGTAGTGGCGCTCGGACAGGTTGACGACCATGTCAAGGTTGTCATTGAGACATGCGAGAGAGGAAGGTAGGTTAATATCCCCGGGCTTGTTGTACTGGAAAGAGATGGAGAAATGTGAGTCTGAACATTCTTTGCTCCTCCAGTGGAGGTCACATCAATTTTTTATCTAATGTGTACACTAAACATTACATTGCTACATGGAATGACACGATGATTGGAGAACATCAGATGACCATGGCTGCGTCTTCCCGGAAAGCAGAGTCTTATTGATAGGAGTACAGGGGTAGAAACTAACAGTTTTAGTTCACTAGTCCTTATAATGATAACATATAGCAAAACCATTAAAATTGACAAATTTCTACTAGTGCTTATGATGTCTTAACTATTGGGCAGTTTGACAAGGACTACACATCTTCCCAAAGGCAAGTGAGTTAACTGACTATAAAAGTCCAGTTTCCACCCTTGCCGAACTAGGCTGGTATTATGGAGTTACATTTTGGCTGGACTAACGAGTCTATGCATAGTCCAAATCAAAATCGCGCACCGAAATCGAAATCCGGTTCGTAAACTGTTGTGCAGATTTGGGTCGATTGCAGGATTTGCAAAGCATGTGCACCGCCAACTCGTTGTCAGCAGATATTTTCCAAATCTTTTCATGTTTTTAATCAAGGTGCTTACGTGATTTGATGCATTTCGCGATGTAAGACCCGTTTTATCACAATATAGATCTTGATTATCGATCAGATCGTCCTGACTCGGCGCCACCATTTTGTTTGAAGCAAACGCAAGTGATACGTGAGGTGCAATCTGATTGGTCCATAGGAGAGGCTTAGAAGGGACATAACTGGTAATAGCCACTGGTGGCCCTATGATCGAGTCCAGTAATTCCAGCCTAGTTCGGCAAGGGTGGAAACTGGACTTTTAAAGTCAGTTAACTCTCTTGCCTTGGGAAGATGATAGATGTCTGGCACCCACATGAAACCCATGCACCACTCACTTGCACTAGGCGCCATACAGCACACATACGTACAACCATGGCGGCAGCAGTCATTAATCCAGACAACATTTGTGACCCACCAGGTGAAAAGACCTAATTTGCGCCAGGATACAAATGTGCTGTGATGTCATAAAGACGTTAGACGTCAACTTACTTCTGTGAAGAACGCCATTTGTGCGGACTGTACAAAAACATCTTATTTCTCTCGTGTAATGTAATAAAAATATTGTATCAAAACCTTTCAGCAAACATGTCTACTTTCAATTCAAAAGACGTTATGTTTAAAAACTGCAATTATTACATAAACAGTTATAAGTCTGAAAAGTAGTCCAAATGTTTGATGTCCTGTATCTCTGTATTAAAGATGAATTGAAGCTTGTGAATTGTATTTTTGCGTTCCAGATACTGTAGTTTTAAAATAAAAAGAAAAGTGAAAAAGTGATTTTTCACTCATGAGGTCCCTCATTTCATGGTTGGTGACATACATCGCCATCTTTTCAATGTCAGTTTAAAATAGGAAATAATGGCTGCAATTAATGGCAGTGTTTGAAATCAGCGCCTGCCTGTAGGCTCATGGCAGACTGATCTCATGGCAGACTGATCTCGTGGCAGACTGATCTCGTGGCAGACTGATCTCGTGGCAGACTGATCTCATGGCAGACTGATCTCGTGTCAGACTGATCTCGTGTCAGACTGATCTCATGGCAGACTGATCCCATGGCAGACTGATCTCGTGGCAGACTGATCTCATGGCAGACTGATCACATAGCAGACTGATCTCGTGGCAGACTGATCTCATGGCAGACTGATCTCATGGCAGACTGATCTCATGGCAGTGAGTGAGTGAGTATGGTTTTACGCCACTTTTAGCAATATTCCAGCAATATCGCGGCGGGGAACACCAGAAATGGGCTTCACACAATGTACCCACGTCGGGAATCGAACCCGGGTCTTCGGCGTCACAAGCGAACGCTTTTTAACCACTAGGCTACCCGACCGCCCCCTGAGGGTCTGAAGAGTTTGGTCGGGTCTTGCAGCCTCTAAAGTCTGTGAGTCCTGATGGCAGCCTGGCAATTTACTTGATTTCTTCTCACACTGATTAATTGGGGACATTTCTTGTGTTTTGAGCCTACTCAGAACTACACAGTAGTTTTGTATTGTACAGTACTCAACATTAAGCTTGAAAGTCAAGTCCTTGACATGTTGGATGGTTTGTTGTTTAACGCCGCACTCAGCAATATTCCAGCTATATGACGGCGGTCTGTAAATAATCGAGTCTGGACCAGACAATCCAGTGATTGATATCATGAGCATCGATCCACGCAATTGGGATCGATGACATGCATCAACCAAGTCAGCGAGCCTGACCACCCGATCCTGTTAGTCGCCTTTTACGACAAGCATAGTCACCTTTTACGGCAAGCATGGGTTGCTGAAGACCTATTCTACCCGAGAATCTTCACGGGTCCCTTGACATGTTAGTGGATGCGGTCAATACAATTCACAAGCTTCAGTTCATAACTATTACAGAGATACATGACATCACACATATCGATCTACACTGAAGTCAAACGTCAAACGTCTTTATGACGACATAGCACACTCGTATCCTCGCACCCATTAAGTCCCGTTTCTCCGGGTGGGCCACATATATGGATAATATTACAACACCTCTAGCAGGCACACTAACATTAGCAGTCACATTCTTACCTTCTTCAGTTTGTTTTCGTAAAGAAACTTGACCAACTCCACCTCTTCCTCAGGACACTGGGATTGGAAGGGGAGACAATCCAGTAGGCTTCTCTCTGGAAACACAATAGTGAGTGAGTGAGTAAGGTTTTATGCCGCTTTTAGCAATATTCCAGCAATATCAGGGCGGGGGGACACCAGAAATTGGCTTCACACATTGTACCCATGTTGGAAAATCGAACCCGGGTCTTCGGCGTGACGAGCGAACGCTTTAACCACTAGGCTACCTGACTGCCCCCCTGGAAACACAATAAGGGAATGTAGGTGAGTGAGTTTGGTTGAACACACTGCGGAACAGAATGTCAGTTGTTCATAGCAGAATAGTTTAATGTGAGAAGGCCTGAAGTGATGTAGGTCGTAGAAGTTTAACACTTGGAGAAACCCACAGGCATGGTGCTGATAAACCAATCATATACATGGAGAGAATCTGGCTGATGAGGTTTATAGTGCTGGTTTTATAGTGCTAGTCCAATGAGACACCCCACTATGCCGAGCGCCAGGCAGGGTAACAATAAGTACTGTGTTTTCACTCTATCCATGAGACCACGGAGGCAGTCCGGGCAGACACTCTATCCACGAGACCACGGAGGTGACCCGGGCAGACGCTCTATCCATGAGACCACGGAGGCAGTCCGGGCAGACACTCTATCCACGAGACCACGGAGGTGACCCGGGCAGACGCTCTAACCATGAGACCACGGAGGCAGTCCGGGCAGACACTCTATCCACGAGACCACGGAGGCAGTCCGGGCAGACACTCTATCCATGAGACCACAGAGGCAGTCCGGGCAGACACTCTATCCAGGAGACCACGGGGGTGACCCGGGCAGACGCTCTATGCATGAGACCATGGAGGCAGTGCGGGCAGACACTCTATCCATGAGACCACGGAGGTGACCCGGGCAGGCACTCTATCCACGAGACCACGAGACCACGGAGGCAGTCCGGGCAGACACTCTATCCACAAGACCACGGAGGTGACCCGGGCAGACGCTCTATCCATGAGACCACGGAGGCAGTCCGGGCAGACACTCTATCCACGAGACCACGGAGGCAGTCCGGGCAGACACTCTATCCACGAGACCACGGAGGTGATCTGGGCAGACGCTCTATCCACGAGACCACGGAGGCAGTCTGGGCAGACACTCTATCCACGAGACCACGGAGGCAGTCCGGGCGGACACACTATCCACGAGACCACAGAGGCAGTCCGGGCAGACACACTATCCACGACACCCCGGAGGCGATCAGGGCAGACACTATCCACGAGACCACGGAGGCGGTCCGAGCAGACACTCTATCCACGAGACCACGGAGGCAGTCTAGCGAGGATCTTGTGCTCCTGAAACGTGGAGTCTGGGAATCCTAAGATATGCACTACTGACAATAAACAGTAAACTACGTTTATAATGAACATGCTTATAATGACCTGATGAATATAACAAACTTATGGCTTGGTCCTTGTCATTTACAGAATATATGCTTATAAAACTATGGTTATAACAAACAAACACTAGTGGTCTCTTTGAGTTTGTTATAACCGTAGTTTACTGTACAAGATATTAACCTGGGTGGTTCAACTGAAAAAGGGACAAAATAATATGTCACCAATAAGTAGAGTCTTTGAAATTAATTTCAAACTTTTGTCTTTTTTTAAATGACTATCAATACAAGCTAAATGTTGCTGATAGTAACAAAATAGAATACGTGTTAATGGTGTGAATCATCTGACACGCAAAGGGAACATGTACAATTCACAACCGTAATATTCAGATACCCTATTGCCATGGTAATCATTTTGTTTATTTTCACAATGAAGGCCAAGCCATGAGACAAAGAAACATCTTATGAAGAGCTTCTACAAACTTCCAAAACAAAATGACACTCTATCCAAACAAAATGTTTTGAATGTCTGGAAAATCACAATTCCACTGTGGCAGGGATGAATGTCATGCACACCTTTGGAGTTGCCATGGTTACTGCAAGAACTGTGTAACACAATCAACAGGTCTTAGATTTTGTTTTGCATCACGGTCAGCGGTATTACAGCAATATCATAAATAATCAAGACTGGGCCAGAAAATCCAGCGGTTGATTCATTTGGCTAAACAAAGAAATCAAAAACCATCTTTTCCTAATAACACATGTACACAATATTGTTTATGTATTAGTGAGCGAGTAAGGTTTTAAACCGCTTTCAGCAATATTCCAGCAATATCACGGCGGGGAACACCAGAAATGGGCTTCACACATTGTACCCATGTCGGGAATCGAACCCGGGTCTTCAGCATGACGAGCGAACGCTTTAACCGCTCGGCTACCCACCACCCCTTTACTGTATTGACGAAGCAGGGTATTAAATACATCCCGGTGTCCTGGGAAACAAACAGAGAGTAAAACAATTACAAAAGGATATTATCACAGATTGTATTTCTGTAAGTATGCTAAGTTTCTGAAAAGGTCGCTCTGTTTCGTTTCTATGTGAAGTTCGCTCACACACTTCGCGGGTACAGATCTAAAAGCATAAAAAAAATATGTGTGCCTTGTGTCGACCACACTGTGTCGTTGTAATTTCAGCTTGGCTTTAGAGTTAGGATAAAAATAAAACGTTTGTACATGATTTAGTGTTCTTTGCCTGCCAATTGCACAGGTGCTGTTACAGCTGAACACAGTAAAACAATTACTGTTGGCATCATCATCATCATCATCATCATCGGAAGAATAGACTATGGTTAACAAACTTGAAGGGACCAACCCGTGAAGATTCCGGGGTAGAATAGGTCTTCAGCAACCCATGCTTGCCGTAAAAGGCGACTATGCTTGTCGTAAAAGGCGACTAACAGGATCGGGTGGTCAGGCTCGCTGACTTATTTGATGCATGTCATCGATCCCAATTGCGTGGATCGATGCTCATGATTTTAATCACTGGATTGTCTGGTCCAGACTCAATTATTTACAGACCGCCGTCATATAGCTGGAATATTGCTGAGTGCGGCGTTAAACAACAAACCAACCAACCAACTTAACCATCAAATATTATTCTAAACACTTAGTGTACCCTTCAATTAAGAACAGGGAGCATATTTTAACCATTAACATCCCAATTTTAACTGTGCCATGCGCAATTTCAAACCCTAGATACTATGTTTCCATGCTTTTGCCAAGGAAATCTTAATAGGTATATGATTATTTACATTAGAGCTGAGTATCGTCTTGCATCTTGCGATACAATTTGTATCATGATACGGACTGACAATACCACTGGTATCATGATAGACTACCACAAAAAGTAGGAAATGATTAAATCTCTGAAGTGCAACTCTAAAACCTCTTGCTTCATAAATTTATTAATTATCTCAAAAGTGAGTAAGTGAGTGAGTATGGTTTTCCGCCGCTTTTAGCAATATTCCAGCAATGTTACGGCGGGAAACACCAGAAATGGGCTTCACACAATGTACCCATGCCGGGAATCGAACCAGGTTTTAACCACTAGGCTACCCAACCCCCCCCAACCAATACTTTAAAGCTCATTATACATATATCACTGATGTGGACAGAAACTTGAAAACAGAAATATCCAGCACAATTATGTCATTTAGATAGCATATATAGATAGGCTTTAGATAATAAATAATAATATTTATTATGATCATAATGATAATGATGTGTTAGCTTTCTCTGTAATGTAATCATAACATTTGCAGGACGTTTTAAGTCTACAAATACATACAGTAGCATTCAGCACCCTGTGTACTTAATGTTTGGACTATTATTTGACTTTAACTTGTTAATTTCTGTGACTGTAGGTACATAGTTATAGAGGCTCCCACTGACTGTTTGGCACCATTTTGATACAATCGATGCTCCCTTGATTCTTTGTTTTATTACGAGCATGACCTGCGATGTTCAGAGAGTTGGGCAAGAGCACAAATTTAATTGTAAAGAAGTGTTTCACAACCGAGATCCACTCTTCAGGTACAGAAACATAAATATATAAAATAATATTAAGATTTATGGACATTTAATATGCTGTTGTCAGTCAATTATTACATTTATTTGGAAAGTTGAATTATTATTTCCTGATGCTGAAAATGATCAAACGATGATGAAATGTTGATCCTAATCTCCAGCCTGAGCATCCCCACTACCAGCATGGGTCACAGGTATGCAAGCGATGCAGGTAAGCCACCATCTGCAGCCCAGTAGGTAGGTCAGACACGGTACATCAGTACAGTGCTTATACTGGATAGCAATCTCACCTCAAGCATGAGAATAGTAATCTGGGAATCATTCATAACACTAATATATTGAGCTCCCTGCAGTAACGTTCTTACCAGATGGGGGAACTGTGGGTAACTCTTCCCCGATTCTCTCACCTGTGTGTCTATGTTTGTCTACAGTACCCAGTTGACGTAATTATCCCATCTAGTTGAAACCTTGTCGTTTAATACTGGTGTACCAAACCTCTTTGACAGTCCTGCTAAACCCCATCTGTCAGTACATGAAACGTCTTTGACAGTCCTGCTAAACCCCATCTGTCAGTACATGAAACGTCTTTGACAGTCGTGCTAAACCCCATCTGACAGTATGTCAAACGTCTTTGACAGTCCTGCTAAACCCCATCTGACAGTACGTCAAACCTCTTTGACAGTCCTGCTAAACCCCATCTGACTGCATGTCAAACCTCTTTGACAGTCCTGCTAAACCCCATCTAACATATAGCAAACCTCTGACAGTCCTGCTTAACCCCATCTGAAAGTACATCAAACCTCTTTGACAGTCCTGCTAAACCCCATCTGACAGTACATCAACCTCTTTGATAGTCCTGCTAAACCCCATCTGACTGCATGTCAAACCTCTTTGACAGTCCTGCTAAACCCCATCTGACTGCATGTCAAACCTCTTTTACAGTCCTGCTAAACCCCATCTGACAGTACATCAAACTCTTTGATAGTCCTCCTAAACCCCATCTGACTGCATGTCAAACCTCTTTTACAGTCCTGCTAAACCCCATCTGACATATATCAAACGTCTTTGACAATCCTGCTAAACCCCA